ATGATCGAAAGATGTCCCCTTTGAAATAAAAATCGACCTCTTTTGCATTCTTTCCAAAAAAAAATGTGTCTTCAAGATATGCGATCTGTTTAGTTTTCGGTGCCTCGCCCGTATAATACTTAGGCACAGTTTATCTTTTCTTTACAGCACTTAAATTGAAATTTCCTTCTATCGACATGTAACGGCTCAAAAAGAACCAATCCTGCTAGAATAATCTCGACGCGTTCGCGAAGTTCTTCCCCTATGCTTCAGCTGCCTAGATTCCGGCAATGTTTCGTTTATGAGTCGGGTGCAAGACTTCACGTCGCACTATAGATCGAAGAACAGGGTCGGCTCAGGCGTTCTCACGACAGTACAGCAAATTATGTTGTCACTATTGATTTATAGAGAACGATATTTTAATTAGAACTGAACTCAAATGGCAAAACTTTTTTTTTAAGGTTGGGTGAAAAAATGCATTTACGCCCATTCAACTTAGATATTGTTCGGATAGTGGGAGCTTCTGGATTCAATACCCCCTAAAAAACCACCCTATTTCTGTTCTAACTCTTTGTACTGAAAGCTGCTCTCACATTACTTCAGTGCAGGGGTTGTTTTCACCTGCTTTCTTTCTCTTTTATTTCTATTGTGTGTCGAATTATTTCGTATGCAGTGTTCCACCCATTTTCTGATTTCAACAGATACATCATATTTCTCACGAAGACTTCTCCAGTGTTTTTTGTGAAGTTCTCTAGTTTGTTGTCGCCTAACCCATTTTTCCATGTTAGGAATTAGTGTCAAAGTCCATCATTCCTTTGTACTACGGACCCACTTATATCGACAAGATCTAATTTGAAACTTACTCGTCGTTCGTACAGTATTCAAGTCTGGATAGGAAAAATCGACAAGTTTATACTTTATACGGGTATTCATGGTATTGCATATTGCACACAGAATTAACTAACCTATTGATTTTATTATATTTAATAATTAACGCTAATTGAATAGCTATTTGATTTCAAAAATAGATGTTTTCTGTCACAATAGGAATAGGTCATTATATCTAAACTTAGATAACATTATTGATTATATTATCATGAATTCAGATGAAAACATTTTTGATTTCTTTTGTGTCTTAGTGCCTTGTTCATTGGAATCGTTGGAAAAATTAAAAATTCGAATTGTATACAGACCTCCGGTTTGGCGCCCCTTTAGAGGTGCGCCCGCGTGCGTTGCACGCGCAGTTGCGGGGGCCCTGGATAGCATTATGATTTTAGTGAAAAAATATGTGCACCCATTTCTGAAACATGATACGATCAAAAATGCAGATTCTGATCGCGAAAATAATTAGGATTCGAATTATTTTTTATTATTATTAATATTATTATATTCGTTTTATTTTTGATTTTATTATTTTTTAGATTACTACAGTAAATATGTATTTTATTTTATACTCATTGGATTAGATTAGATTTAAAAGGAGTTGAACATTATTTGTCCTTGCCCACCGCGACCTTTTCAGATCTATTTGTGGGACTCCGTCTTTTAGAATATGTTGTCTAGCTTGGTCTTTTTCAGTAGACTTAGTAGCTTTGACAGAGGCTCCCGCATGTAGTTCCGTCTGGCTTTTCTTCTCCTAATGTTAGAAACCTCAATATAGCCAGTCCTTCACACTGATGATGTTTCCTCTTCTTCTTTTTCTTCTTCATAGAACCTGCACAATTCTGCTAGATTGACAAGCCCGTCGAGAGGGAGAGACAGGGTAGGCAATATCCCCGGGGCCCGACAGCTTTACAGAGTACTCATCGCAAGTCGTATGGGGGGGGGGGGGGCTTGATATTTTAGATTCAGTAGGTCTTTCGTGAACTTTGTCGATGGTACCTTGATTAACTGTTTATGGCCTGTCTCAATCTTGGATAGTTGTTTCACCATTCCTGAGACTCTTTTTTGCATGCATGGTTTGATGGATTCCTTGCACAATGCCTCAGCAATTCCACAGAAGTTTAGGGCCTCTCATGGCCTTATCTAAGCCTTCTCGGGCTAATTCGTTGGCCTTTTCGTTGCCCTGATATCCCTCATTTCCTGGCACCCAGGCTAGAGTCACCCTGTTTTGACTACTAAGCTCTGTCAGGTCTTCTAGGCAGTATTACCTGATACTTGCTGATTTAATATTTCTCTTGCAGTGTTCAATGGCTATTAGTTCAGCCTGGAACACTGTTGCATATTCTACTAGATTCAGCAAAATAATTGTTTTTGACTTAGGTCCAAAGATACCAAAACCAGCTTGGTTTTTGAACCGTCTGTATACCAGACGAGTTTAGCCTGTATGGAAGATCTCCGTTTCCAGGATTCTTGGGCTGTTATTTGAATTTAAAAATGTCTTTCAAATTTATATGTGGTTATGGCTATATATGATCAGTAGGCATTCCTAGAATCTTATCCTTTTTTTACTTTCTGGTTGGCTTATTTTATTTTGTCCCTGCATTAGCCTGTGTTTCTCTTTGTATGAAGATGTGTAGTGGCGTGAGGTTTACAAGTACCTCCATGGCTGCAGTTGGCGTAGTACGCATGGCCTCAGTGGCACTCAGACAGGCGAGCCGCTGAGTTGGCTTATTACACTTGCCTGCGCAGTTTTGGTTACCCACGCCACTGAGCCATGTATCATCATGGGTCTATTACCCTTTGTGTATAACCATGTGGTCATTTTGGGGCTTAGACCCTAGTGTTTCCCACATATTCTTCTACAGCTTACGAGAGCTATTGTAGTTTTGTATGCGAGAGATGTTGATTCCACGTTAGACTTTGGTCAAATATGACTTCAAGTTATTTAACTTCTGTGACAAATGGAATAACCATGTAATTTAGTACTAGTGGTCTTAGTCCTGTAAGTACCCGTTTTTGTGCGTTAATAGACAACTGCTTTTTTTGCACCAGTCGTTTACTATGTTTAGATGTTTAAGATCGCTTCGAGACTGTGCATGCAAATCGCCCCCTGACGATAATTGCTAGACGTACCTTAGGCACTGGTAGCCTTCTTAGGACATTGTTTTGAGTAGGTCGTCCAATAGAACTAACCACAGCATTAAATATAGTATTCCTCCTTGTGGGCAGCCACGTGTATGGTTCTTTCCTAGGGTGGATAAAATGATTCTATTCTCTAGATTAACAGTGATATAGATCACTGGCATGTTGTGATTGGGACGTTTATCTGTTCTAGAGCTTTCGTTATTGATCTGGTTGAGGCATTATTGAAAGCTCCTTCGATATCTAACAAAGTGACTTTCTTCGTCATCTACTGACTTTGAAAGCAGCCTCTTTAGATCGTCCAACGCTAAGTCAGTTGACTTTCCTGGCTGGTATGCATATTGGTTGGGATAGAGCAGATTTATTTTTGGTATATCGTCCCTGATATACCTGTCTATCAATCTTTCTAGCGTTTTTAGTAAGGAGGATAGGCTCAAAGGGAAATATGACTTTGGCGTTTAGTCTGTGACTAGTGTGACCCTATCTACTTTGGCAAGGTAGACTGCTTTCGCCTTTTGTCATATTGCTGGAATTTATACCCATTAAAAAAACCGTTTTTTTTTAATAGCATTTCTACATTTTTTTATGAGAATTCCTACGATTTTGGTGACAATAATATGCTATATGCAAGATTCAATATCAAACGAAAAAAAAGCAAAGTAAATATTTGTACATATATTGCTAGAAAGGCGAAGTTGTGGTCACAGTACACGTGCAAAATAAATTTCACCTCACTTTATGAGTAAACAAGTGTTTTTTATTTTTTCTAAAAAGTAAACAATGTGCATGTGGACGGTTATCGCATCAAACCCTTCATTTACTGTTTCTAGTAGGATCGTCAAAATTCTTCGACAGATCCAGCATATTCTAGAATAGACGGTTCACTTTGACTAACGACGAGCATGGGAGTGTTATAGGGGTTTCGGGGGATGATTTATTTTATCGAATATTTTTGTAAAGGGGAAAAATGGAGGTCATAAAAAGCTCAAATAAGGCAGATGGGGATTTACAATAAAACACAGCTATAGTAACATTTAAATTTATTAAAGTTTGAGCGGGTTGAGCAATAAAAAATGTCATGTTTCTAGAAATAAAATAAAAATTAAGTACATTAAAAACTACGACAAAAATGGCATGAGTTAATTTAACAAAAAAAAAAAGTTTTTAAAATCCTATACTTTATTTTACAGTAGTAAAACGTTTAATAAATGTCACATACCGCTCTAAAACAAATTTGTACTTCGATATTGTTTTATTTACAGAGAAAATATGGCTTTCTGCAGCAATATCGTTCATGTTCATTGAAGATCTGGTTGCAGAACGTTTAACGAAAAAAATCAAATTGAGATGAATGAAACTGCGCTTTCAGGATTGTGTTACTATATTGATTTTACATGTATATTTTCGTAAATAAAATCCGCGACCAAATCTTGTAATCAAAGACAAAGAACTTACAAGAAACAAAACAGCATGAACGTTATTACTGCAATACAATTTTAATATTTCTGTTCTTTTACCTTTTCGTACTAGAAATGTTTGATCCATTTATTTAGATTAAATCTAAAATGTTGGTCATTCAAAAAACCTCAATAGTTTAATAATAATCACAGAGGAGTATTAAAGGGATATATCATACTTAATTTCTGCAAATTAAAAATACATAACTTTGTTTTTAGAGAGCTATACTCTGAATAAATATTAAAAAGTTTAAAACAATTGAATTAACAATTATCTACATAAATGTACAATTATTTAATATAATTATTGCAAGACATGGTAACATTTATGATTAAAATTCCAACGCAGTGTTGTCAGACAAGTAAATCAAAACTACGAACAACCCAAAAAATTACAGGAAAACTGAAAAAACAACACTGCCATCGCTAGAAATAAATTTCTATATACAAAAAGTAAGCACTACTATAGTAAAACAAAGTACTGTAAACATTGTCGAGTCGCTACAAAAAAATAGCATTCCAATTACACATTATCTACCCCTAACATTCAAGAGTCTTCCATACTGAAAACGGTATACAGATCCGGTAAAACTCCAACCGAAATAGATTTTTCACGAAGAGTACAAACGAACATAATAAGAGGAATAAAAAATTACATTATACATTTTCGGAAAGTTCCCCTCCTGTTAAAAAACCATCTGAGCAGAAGAAAAGGCGTGTCAGAAAACGTAAACTTAACAATGAAAGTCCAAATAAAAGTAGCACTGACACTGATAGTTCAATTAAAACGGACAGTGAGGACGACGATAGTAATTCGAAAGGCAGCGACAGCCAAGCGCAACAAATCGAAAGCAGCAGTTCCACTTCTGTCAAAAACCCGTCCGAGCTGAAGAAGCGTGTCAAAAAAAGGAAAACTATCGATGATACAAAGGTTGAAGACGTTGGAAAAGAGATACCAGTTCGGGTGAAACAATTAAAAAAGAATGGGAACGGTAAGTTTTAAATTATCATTCAGCTATAAGATAATTGTAGATGTGGGAAATTAGAGAATATATCAATCAAAATTACAAGGGCATTTAACGTAACGTTTTAGCCACTATTATTTAAAATAATGCTATTGAGGGATTCACGTACAGGGAAAGATGACTCACAGAAGTAGCACCTGCTTTGACTTAAGACATTAAAAAGTTCCTTTCATATTATTTATTAGTTTTCTTTTTGCTCTCGTTGACTTTCATGGGTTTTTTACCAAAACTGTATACTTTAAGCAACTAAAAATGGCTGTAAAGTAGAAAATGATTTTTAAATTATCTTTCATAAAAAATATAGGTATATCAAACAATCCATATTTACAAAAAAAATCTAAAAATGTAACTGTACAAGTATATTAAAAACATTTCCAAATAAGTATTTAATACTGAAAATAATTTGATCTAAATATTAATAAAAAAATAGTCTAATAAAGTTAACCTGATTGCCAATTTTTTGTTCTTATTTAAATTATTAATTTATTAATGTTAACTTTATTAGATAAAATTAACATCAGTTCATTTATCAAATAGTTTAGACGATTATACGACTGATAATTTTTTTTATTAAAAATCACGTAGTTATTATTGCTATAATTTCGTTTTTCTGATTTTCGGAAATGCTACACAATAAGTCTTGGAACAGGAAAGCCTATCCAAAAAATTTAAACACCAAAAATATTAATAAATTACTGAAACTGCTTTAGTTAAATTTTCAAAATACATTTTTAATGAAACCACAAAAATATTAGTTAATAAACATGAAAGTTAATTTTGTAATCTTTAAGCAACAAGTAATGACTGATGAAGATTAATTTGTTTTCAAAATATTTGATCTCATTAATTTTAAAAGATATATCAGTTCTCGTAGTTTACTATTTCTATAAAGTATTGAAGTGTTTTATTGTTTTATACTAAGTTTCCCCTTTGTAGTACGTCACTGATACGACATCGCCTCCCACATTGATGAGACACTGTCCCTGAAATAAATAATGGAGAATATATAAAAAATTAATTCTGAAATTTGGGAATATTTAAATATATAAATAACAAGTTTAAACTCTAAAATATGTACGAATTCCGAAAAACATTTAAATGCCAAAGGGTTCTCTTCTTACGGGTCTTTTAAGTTGTCTGTGGTTTCAGAAAGACCTCTTCAAATTTAATTACTCATCAAGAAAGCAATCTGAATTGAATGCATAGGGAATAATAATCAAAACAAAGGGTTTCCTCATATTAATTGCTCATTTTTGATATGCAAATCTGTATGACTCTTCAAACTAAATAATTGTTTTATGTAGGTGTGGAAATTTATTGTCTCGCATAACTAAGGTTTTTACTGTGTACATCAAAACTTGCCTGTAAATAATTAAAATATCGCTTTATAAAATAGGTTATTAGCAGTTTAATAAAAAAAACCTATGTTATGGGTAAGTCAATTTTTGCAGTATATTTAAAAAAAGAAAACATTTGATGTTATCAAATTTTAATTCGTTTTTATGCTGTAAACGAAATGTAATATCTTTTCGATCCATCTATGGAAGCAGGGATAAACTAATTATTGATTATTTTCGGAAAGTGAGGACGCCATTTTTAGTCAATTTTTTTTTTAATAATGGATTACACATAAAATGCAACCCAATTTTCATTTATAACTTTTTCGGAGGTCTGAGCCTTTTCGTATTTTCCGATTGAACGATTTTATAGGAAAATGTTTAGTTTAGGTGGTTCAAGGTTTCACTTTCAGAAAATTTATTGAATTTTTAGTTTATTCCTACAATGAAAAAGGTCTAAAAATAGGCCATTTTCTACCACATGTTTTTAATTAAAAACAATTAATTTTAAAAAAATCAATGCCTGAACCACCCAAGTTGGACCTTTATCTACAAAAAAAAAATAGTACGATATACGGTATAATTACGGAAATAGTTACAATTAACTTTTGGTCTGCAGACGCCATTCTAATACACAAGGATACTCTGTCCTTAAGGTGTATAATTTAAAATTTTTATATACTTACCTTTCAATGGCGTTGAAATTTATTATAGCCTAAGATCCGACCATGTGAGTACTGCACTCACCTATTTTTTTTTTTATCAAAAACCAATTTTTATAGATAACCATTGATAGAAAAATACGGTTTTGCTCGGTTGCCTATCGAAATATGGCCCCAAGTACTTTTCATTTTTTTCGAATAATTTCGTTTACTTGTTTTTAAGATAAAATATAATTCATTTCACAAAAATCTCACTATCACTATTATAAGATTTTCGTACTTATTAAATAAAATTGATCCCCAATTAATTTGTATTTTTTTTATTTCAACCTTGTCATAAATACTAATTTGTTAATATCAATTGTTGGTAGACCATTGCAAAAAAATTGTCAAATGGTCCCTTATCATGAATAGGTTAAGAACCACTGACCCAGATAAAACTTTCGTGGCCTAGTATACAGAACACTTTGGAAAATTTTCCATTTAGTGGTGTGGTGACTTGGTTAACTTTAGTGTATTTACCTGATTTTTGTGGAAGTTGTGATGAAGGAACAATTCAGTCAGAAAGAACGCTACCAAGGCATTTCCACCCAGAGCAGAAACGTGAGCTCGTACTATTGCTAACACTTCAGTTACAAAACTATGGAGAAACCCACTAAGACCACCTTCCTGAAAAAAATATAATAGAAGGTTGTAATAAATAAAAATAAATTAATGAAAAAACGTACCTCTCTAATAGAAGTAGTCTCTCTAATAAAAAAGAAATTGATATTTCCTATATATTTGTCAATATTGGCACCAGGTACATATGATAAAGGCGTTATATCCACTCCATGAATTTCCTTTTGTGGCGTCTAAAACAATAAATTTTAGTTGCATGGATCTAATAGCGGTAGATATGGAAGAAATGAGAATACATAACTGGAAGCAAAACACAAAAAATAGCCAGCACTAGTAAAGAAGACAAAGCAAGATTAATAACAGAATAACCTCTCTCTTGAAGATTTATTCTTTTTTAGACTATTGTGTTATAAGAATCAAATATATTTACATGTCTTTGCTTTAACGGCTGTGATTTGTATTTTGACGAACTTCTTTGTCTGCTTTTTGCACTATTGCTCTTCGTAAAAGAATTATTTTCTGCAATATTATCTTCATCTAGTTTAAAAATCATGTCTTCATCTGAAACACGATAAATTTTTAAAAGGAAAATAAATATGGATGTATATATTTATTACCGCTTCGTTTTGGAATGAGTGCTTTCGATTTTTTGGACTTTTTGCCTAATCCTAAAGCCATACCTAGAATAAAGGTAGAATTTATTATTAAAACTGTCAGCATATACGCTTTGCTTATTGATAACGAAAAATATTTGGAAGTATGTTCTATTCTAATAATACACTTAATGTACTCATAAATTCATCTTAGTGACATAACACAAGACGAGAGAAATATATTCATTTTAAGATGATTTTGCAGCTGCACTATAAATTATATAATGTAATTAATAAGAACAAAATAAAATCAATACAAAAAATTTTATCCTTTGAAATCCCTAACGAATACAATATTTATAAATTATAAAAACCTACTGATGTATGTTTTTTCCAAAATAATAAAATTTGTAGAATGTTTAATAATTTTTTATTTCCCTTGATAAGAGGGCATCTGGTATATTCAGGCTCTGAGGTATATCCCCAAAAAATAGAGAAAGGTAAAAGTGGTATTCATACCCAAACCTGGAAGGATGGATTACACTGTCCCAAAAACATACCGAACAATTAGTCTGACATCGTTATCCATGAAGAAATTGGAAAGGCTTTGCAGAAGGTACATAAAGGATGTGGTAATTACAAGAACACCAATAAACCCAAATCAACATGCATACGCCCAAGGCAGATCTACTGATTCAGCCCTTCACCTAGTTGCTGGCTGGATAGAGATCCCTGGACAATAAGGAGTCCGCATTGGGTGTTTTCAGAGCTCCTAAACACAAAACTAAACCTTGCAACCAAAGCCATAGAATTCATTCTTAGTCTCACTGCCTTTAAAATTTATATCAAGGAGGTTGCTCTGATGACAATGACATGCAGCAAAATAAATCACCAAAAACAATATCATTGAAGGAAATATGCTCAACCATACAGATAGCAGGGAAGCAGTACTCACCCTGAACAAATTTACTCAGGGTTAGTACTAAAATGTCACGAAGCTTTGCCTGAAGTATCCATCAAAAATGTGGTCACCTTAAGATGGATCAAAGGTCACACCACATCGAAAGGTCCCCGTCTTGTTGAGTCACTAGCCAAGGAGGCTCTTCTATTGGACTTACAACATCAGTAGTGACAGAACATTGCTTTATGTTATTCAAAGAAAGATGGGATGAAACAAGAAACTGCAGAAGTACCAGGGAGCTTTTAAGTAATCCTGACAACCATACAGCAAACTAGGCAGAATTTGCATTCTGACTAGTCATTGCCAAGTACGGAAGCACCTGCATATCATGGGGTTGTCAGAATCCGCACTCTGTAGAGGATGCGAACAAAAAGATGAGACCATCGAGCATATCCTCTACGAACGCCTGACGCTCTCATTTATTAGAAGATTTGTGTTCAGCGAGTATCGGCTAACTCCGGCAGCGATAAGAGAAGTACCTCTTGGCGACGTTGTCAACTACATTAAATCTGTAGGCTGGCTCACGAGCAAGGAGGTGCCTATCATCTTAGGAGGATGCACAATATGCCTAGTGAGTCCTAAGTGCCGTGGGGTAACCCACCCTCCACAGGTTACAAATACTCTAGTACTTTATCATGTTAGTTTCTTTAATGGTAATATCCGATTCATTCAAGCTATGTAAAATTGTAAATGTTTTATCGGCGTTCAAGGTTAACTTAATAAAATCAAGCCAGTGTTACAACTATTTCAAAACCAGCAGCTAGTTTATTTTTGACAAGTAGAACTGTGTCATCTGCATAAGAAATTGATTTAAATTTAATAATTAATGTATACAATGAAAAGAAGAGGACTGAATAATATGCCTTGTGGTATACCAATTTTAATATCTAAAGGATCACTATACACATTTCTATATACTTTTTTTTGGCATAGACTCTTGTCATACAGCTAGTCACAAAATGGGAGAGGTAAATTAACAAACAAATAATGAATAAAAAAGAGAAAACATTAAATATTTAATTTCAAATAACAAGAGGATTAAATGGGGACACTCGCTTCTCGCCTAGGGACCTATCAAGGCATTAAAAAAAAACAGACATACACTAGGTCACGGTAAGGGGTTAAAATAAAACAAAGGTAACAAGTCTAACAAAAGTACTAATAACAAGTGTATACCTGATTCCATTAAAAATTTAATCAAGCAGTCATAAATGTTTGTGGAATTTGAGGACAATAAACTTTGGATATTCCAAGGGGAGCATATTTTGCATTTAAGCAGGTTGTTATGTAGCTTGTCAGATAATTTTTTGTTTCTAGTACAATTAAAGATTTGGTCTAGATCTCCTTTTTCATTACACGTCTCGCATTGGTCACTTTCAGAGACTTTAATTTTGTATAAATGGCTAGGATAACAGGCATGACCAAATTTCATACTAATGATTGTTGATATGTACTTTCGCGGTATTTTATAATGCTTGTACCAAGGGATCTTAGGAATGTTTAACTGAAGAGTCGTATATCTTGTTGGATTTGCAAAACAATATTCCTGCCACATGTGTTGCCATTTATTGAACTGATTTCTTTTTAATATTGCAGTAACATCAGAAACAGATAAATTGTATGACGTTATTAGAACCTGTTACAGAGCCTTCTTTGGCCAACAAATCTACATGTTCGTTGTGCTTTAGCCCAATGTGAGCCTTAATCCAAATAAAACGCACGTTCTGAAAATGTTTAGTAAGTTTCTTAATTTTTATTACAAAAGGACAAGTCGATGTATTAGGAAGCTCATTTTTTGTAATAGATGTTAAAACAGAGAGGGAATCTGATACAATAATTATCGTTTCTCTGTTGCAGGAAGAGGTGTAAATAAGTGCTTCATAGATAGTCGCAGCTTTCGCAGTATATATGGAACATTCTTGCCTAATTTTAAAAGATTTTTCTATGTGCTATTTAGGTTCAAAGAAAGCAGAGCTTACGCCATTAGCTGATTTGGACGTATGCGTATATAATATTAAGGCATCTTCAAAATTACTTAAAATAGAGAGTAATATATTGCTACTTATAGCTATTCTTCATAGTTTGGTTTAATAAAGGAAATGTCTGAATAAAAGCTAAAAAAATCATTAATTCCAGGGTGGTGGGTTGTTTTATACAGATCACTTACAATATTACTATTGTTCTGTATACATAAGTATAAATTTTTTTGAAAGATCAAGAAAAATGGCGATTACCTTTCCTTTTATAATGTTTATACATTTCATCATTAGTACTAATTACGCGTATACATCCAAATTGATTTTTATTTAGTGCATTGACAGAAGTGAAGTAATTAATTAATCTATTTTCAGACATTTTACAAAAATATTGGCAAAATTGGAGATTATACTTAAGGGGTCGATAATTTGTAATATCGGTCTTGTTACCTTTTTGAAAACTGGATATTTTAAAATGAGAAGGTACTATACCGATCAAAAAAATAATTTTATTCTAGAAGAAATTTGTGATTTTTTTTTATTAGTCTTAATGTATGCCATCTATGTCGCGCGCTCTATTACTTTTTAGACTGCTAGTATGCATAATTACTTTCTAATCAGAAACCGGTTTTAAAGCTATAAAGTGTATACAATTTAAAGGACTTTTTCTGTTGTTTGTAAAGCTATTAAAAATATATATATTACCGAAAACTAATAGCTGCACTTCATCTGGCTCGGGTATGTCACATCGAAATTGAATGTTACATAAAGCACAAGGCACCATTCTTCGCAATTTAAAATAAACACTCTGTAATAATTTGGAAAAGTATTCATCTATGTTTAAGTTCGAATGGAATTTGAAACGTCTAACTTGTGTGAACATTTGAAGATTCTTAACAATTTCTAAGTCGTCGAGCCCCGGTATATTTTCAGTGTTTACGACGTGAAACCCATCAGGAGGTCGTTCTTTTATGAGTGAAAACAACACTTCTTCATCTTTAGGATCGTCAACCTAAAAGAAAATAGTTTAATTTTGACATCAACAGAATTATAATACTCTTACCTCTAGAACACAACAGTCTTTGCTACCTGACGATAAATCTAATGAACTTGGTTCTTCTTCTGATTCATCATCAGACCAAACACGGCAATTTTGCAAATCTTCCTAAAATAACATTGGATTAAAAGGCTATTTTGATAATAACAAACAGTCAATAATAAATCAAAATTGTGCTTGCTTACTTCAATTTGATATATTTCTCTATTTTTCTTGACAGTCTCATTCAGCTGCTTTTGCAACAAAACCAATTTGGCATCATCCGTATTTTCGTCTGAGACTAACTTGGGTACTGAAGGTGGTGGTAAAGATGTAAGGTACATTGCAGTGCCATTAGCTATAGCAATTATTAATTTTTCTCCAACGGTTATTCTAAATTTCAAACCAAATATTGCATTCATTCCCTTTATTTTCAATTTGTTGACTAGCAGTCTATGTAGTTCATACTCTAAAAACGGTAAACCGTCTGATATTTCTTTAGCTATCCACTCTCCTTTTAGATCTTTGAGAGGACGGCAAACGTATGATTCAATAAAGCATCCTCTTCCTGTGCTCGGTATACCATCCGGTGGTTCTATAGTGGCTATAAGTACTTCTGGGACCTTACCTTTTCTATAATTTTAATAGTTCAACATTTAAAACATTGTTAGAGATAAAAATTACCGGTAACTTACCTACATATCGCGCATTTTGATAAAGTTGCTTTAAGTGGTGTGTTATTGCCTTCATATGGTAAGTGGGTGACGGAACATAAGGTATTAAAACAATTATTTGTATGTTCTGGACTATCAACCGGTTTATTAGTGGCTTCCTACAAAAACAAGTAATTTACAAATTTGTCAAAATGGTCAGCTCTTTTGTTACATGTTAAGGAAACTTTACGTACAAAGCTATTAGATAGGAAATATTTTAAACAATAAGGCTTTTCTAAAAGTTGTGTAATAAAAAAAAGATTTACCGTCTTATGTTTATCTTTATCATATTGCTTTTGATCAAGAGAAGCACACAGATCATCACTTTGTGGTATGTTCTGTTTCATTAAACCTACATAATCCTCTAGCTCATCGGTTTTATGAAAATTGATTATAACTGCAGTACCATAGGCACTTAAAATACATATGTCGTCACTAAAATAAAAAAAAAAAAAATTGAATTTGATCAAATAAATTATTGACATGAAGACCTTTTAGACTCATTAAAACTGTATCATTTTATTATCTGAACAATAAAATAATGATTGGTGTATTAGGATTGGATTACCTGATACTTGCAGACTCTGAATAACCCAAAACAGCGTTGCAATTTAAACTACGCGCATGAGAACGTATTTCCATTCTTAATTCAGACCACCAAGTGTCTCTCGATTCTGGTTCTTCAATGTTTCTTATGGTTTCCAATCTTTTCACTGACCTTGCACTAACTGCGCCCCCTAAATTAAGATACAAATTAGCTAATGACCCAGGAAGTACTTGTATGAATACATATTGTTAAATTCCCTGTGCTGACTCTTGTATAGCAGATTAGATTTGATTAAGACTCTTATATCAGTTAATCATTGACTAAACAAGTAATCTTCTTCTCTGTGAGGCTTCTTTTATGATTAGAACATCAGCCTATTGCCTGTATGTCCCCTGTTGCCTATAATACCAGATTTTGGCAGTATTTGTTAGGCGTGGAGAATGGGTTGCCCCAAAGCACTAACAAATTTCCTAATTGATGATATATTAAAGGATATGCTCGACAGTCTCATCTTTTTGGACTCACCCTCTATAGAGTGCGGAGTCAGTCAAGTATTTGTTTGCTATAGTGTTGTCAGGGTAACTTAAGAACTTCCTAGTAACTGTGCAGCTTCTTGTTTCATCCCAACTTTCCTTGAATTTCACAAGAAAATGTTCTTTAATTAGGTTTGTCACAACAGATGTAATTAATTTCTTTTGAACTAAATACACTGGCCCTATTTTGCACTATTGGCAGTACTAATCTTTTTTACTAATAGTGGACTGGAATTTAACAATTTGTATGAGACATGTAGACACCATATGATAAGATACCTGGCTTGAAAAAAACTGTATTGAAATAATGTACTTACCAATTTGAGCTATAAAATCAGTAGGAAACTTCATGACAGTTAAGAATGGATACTCTAACATGTCAAAGTTTTCTTGATGTATTTGTGAGGGCAGTACTATATTGTTTTTCATAAACGAACCGCTGTGATGTCCTCCAGATTTGTCACTACTGGTAAGACTGTTTCCTAAGGAATAGATATGTTAAGACCACATTTTGAAGGAGTTCGAGGCAATATACAATTAGATTAAGAACATTAATATTTTATGAACTGGTTATACATTAATCGGAGGAATGAAGCTTTAATGAATTTTAAAAACAAACAGTTTTTAATTAATGGCCAGCGTTGAAGAATAACAATAAAGGCATACAGACTAAAATGAATTAGTGCCGTGTATACAAGAAGTTACTATCAGAACTGTGCACAAAAACAATACGAAATTTTAGAAATAGAAGGGTAGGTACATTAGAAAAGCAACATTTCTTGCATTATTTTTGGAGTTTACATTTAATTTAACTGCTCTAGCCACAAAAATCCAATATTAATGTTCTTGTTTTATACATTGGTAAATGCTTTGGGTGAAATACATTCATGATGGCTATGAAGAAAGGTTTCCACACTGGGATGCGGTGATTTGGATACCACATGCATTAAGTAAATGTACATTTACTTACAATAATCTATAGTTAATAAATAGTCCTTTAAATTAGAAGCACAAGTAGTTTACATGGAACTTCGATTAAATAAGAATGTCTTATGGTTAAAAAATATTAGATCAGCAGATATTTCGATACAAAAATAAAGCAAAGGAGAGATCTATTAGACATGGACAATTCGTTATGTTTAAGCAAGTTTAGAAATAATTTTAAACGCTTGTAATCCCTTCCAAAATCAGTATAAAATCCTTGAGCATCCAAATTCGTGTTTCATAGGATTAAAGTAAAAAAATATCCAGAAGACATTCTTGATACATATACACATTCTCCAACTTTCGTTTCAGAAACTAAATCCTACCGACATAGGGAATATTTTGAAAGAGAGAATGGGCAGCGGTCTTCTTATAATAAGACATTTAAATAAAGTTAATACACGAAGATGCAACAATTAAACAAGCATCTTATACTCACTTTTTCTACAGATTCCTAAGAGGAGAAAAACATATTATATAAAATTATGGACGTATGTCACACAATTACTAACAATACTAGCTACATTTTTATTTGTAACAAAAAGTGAGTTTTTTTTTGAATTTTTAGCAAACATCGAGGTTTTTTTAAGCTCAATAAATATAGTCTCTTTGACTATAAATAATTTTTTAAATAATAAGAGCTTTATTTACAGTTATTTGCAAAAAATCTCACTTTATGTTTATCTAAAGGTCCCCATAATATAAATGATCAAACGTATAAAAAAACACATTGAAAATATGAATAATTAAAAATCCATCAAAAATTTAGTCCTAACTCGCATAAAATACAATTTTGAAATAAGTTTAACGCTTTTAAAATAATTTATATTATGGGAATTATCATGAATTATTGTGAATGCCCTTGGAATCGTTATCGCCTTTTCAAATTATTTGTTCAATATATTATTTAACGGATTCATAGTAATTATTTTACGACATAATTAATTAGGGTAAAGAGGTTCAATCAACAATGGATAATCGTGTGCTTACACCAAATAATGCTCTATTAAATTGACTAACATTATTATACCAAAATTGTAATTACCTTTAGGTGTCATGCTTAGGTCAGAATCAGAAGATCTTCTTTGGGCAAAAACATTGAGTCTGGATGGTGATTGATCGCCTCTTCTTTGCTCTATGCTCTGTTGAAAATTACTCCCGGTTTGGTCTTGTTGTGGTGACATAATATGCCTGTTTGGGGTTATGCATGCATGCTTAGTATTGCTACAAATATTGCCCTCAGTTTTTATATTGAGAGGCAAATCATTGGATAAAGTAGATAAGTTAGTAGATGTTAATTCATTCTGGGATGGAGAGTTGGATAAATGTAAGGAGTTAGAGGATTGCCGCATTTTCCTTTGACTAAAGATTCGGGATAGGAAGCTCCCTCTAGGTTTTTTATCAGAACTCGCACTGTACGATCTAACTCGAGGTACTTGAACATTTAATGAAGCTGTACTTTTCTTTGAACCAAATATATGAAACCTCTTAGATGTTTTCTTTTGCAAAGATTCATTCAACATAGTTTTAACCAAAGGCCTGTTTAGCTGATTATCAGAAAAACAATTAGCTCTAATTAATTGATCAGAATTTGTTGGGGTTAGAAGTAATTCAGTATTTGTCAGACATGGTTGTGATATTCTTCTCCTGTAGCATTCATAAGATACTATTTCAGTGAAAGGAACACCAAGGACAGTTTCATTACGCTTAATATACTCCTTGAAACTAACGGAACTTGCAGACTTGGACATTCTTGGTTGTCGTAAAAATTGATTTTTTGACTGTGTAACTGTTATTTTTGGAAATTCCGGAGTTTTAAATGAAGGTGAAGTAGGTGGGGTATAAGTTCCCATTAAGCTAGCTGTATCTAACAGCATCGCTTGCATAGCAGTTTTTATTAAACCTTTCTCTTTTATTTTCACATTTTTCATCGCTTCTGGTATCATACCATGGAATTCTGGTTTTTCTTCTTCTTCTAATTCTTCGTCTCTATCATCAAGTAATTCAAATACAGGTTTTTTTGTTACTTTGTTGTTTTCTTCAGATGTATTTTGAGCTAAATCGTCCGGAAAAGATTCTAAAAGCTGCTCTTGGATTGACGTTTCCGAGGAATCTACACTTTCTAAAATCCTTCCTTCAGATAAAGTTCTATTTAACTCCAGAGTTGGTAAGGAATATTGTTTAAGAAGCCGCTGCTTCTGCTTCAGTTGTAATCTTTCAACATCTTTAATAATGTTACTAATAGTATCAAGAGCTATTTCGCTATTTTTAGAATCAAAACTTCCATCTTCTTCGTCTTCAGAAGTTGTTGAATCAGTACTAGAGAATTGTTCTTCACTTGAACTGTCTTCAGAAAGCATGGTAGGTTCAGAAACCGTTTTAACTAAAACATCTTGATTAGAAGCTTGCCTATTTTCCTCTTCTTGAGAACCATGTTTACCTTCTAAAATGCAGCTTAAACTATTATGAGCATGTAATACAGAACGAGCTAAAACTTCAGCCATGAAACTCGACTCACTATCGGATCTTTTATACTTTCTTTTGTTGGCAATTTGTTCTTCATCTATCTCTTCACCAATGCTATCTTCGAGTTTAGATTTTAAAGCATTCATCTTTTTACTGAGCAGATTTTGCGAATATTTGAGATTTCTAAGCTTTAAAGGTAATGACTTAGTGGTTTTACCCCTTTCATTTTCTTGTTTAAGGAGACTTTCCATTGAATTATGCGAAATATTCTCTATAGAGTGGGTAGATCTGATACTACCTGCATCTATAGATGAGTACAGTTTTTTAGAGAGCCTCTTATATTTAGCGGGAGCAAGGTTAAATAATTTCGGTAACCTAGACAATTTTGGGGATAGAAAAGGGAAGACATTTGGTGTGCTGCTCAAGCGAAAGCTTTTGCCCTCACCAACAAATTCAAGGTAATCTTTTACATGCCTGTACAGAAATACGAAAAATTGGTTTAAGTATTGTAATAGATTTTCTTAAATATTTGTTAATCTATCCTAAAACTATACTAAAGTGAATGCCGAGAAAGGTACACCACATCATTGTGTGCACAGTTGAGTTTTAGTTGGCATAGTGCGTGGCTAGGCAACAAGATTAAATTCAAATATACATATACAGTTTAAATATATATAAATAATCCATTATTCATTTTTTGAAAACAACATTATTTTTGAAAGAGTAAAACCAAATTTGGTAGATTTTCACTTTTATTTTAAAAATAAAAATTTTTAAAAAAACACTAACATGACATATGTTTCGAAGTACAACTTCTTTTTCAAATGTGACTATTTACAATTCGGTATCCAATATATATACGAAATAATTTAACAAAACAAAGTACTTAAGAAAACATCAATAACATTACAAAATAAACTAAATATTTAAAGTAAATAAGGGTACTTAGGTAATTATAATATCCATCAGATAACAATAAGATAGCCCATTACCGGGATTATCTCACAGAAAACTGGGAAAGAGATTTAATAAGGGTGAATTATTAATATCTAATTGATCATTTAGTAAGTTATCTGAATTTTTAAATCTATTTATTTCTAAATGGTTTAATTTAAGGCTCTTATTTTCTACATGTAAAATTTCAAAGTTGTCTGTAAAAGAATGATTTTCAGCTAAAATATGATTTGAGTAAGTAGAATTATTTTTGTTTTTTGTATAGCTATTATAATGTTCGGAATAGCGTTTTTTGAAAGTACGGCCTGTTTGACCAATATACAATTTTGGACAACTACCACAATTTAATTTATATACCCCCGATTTATTATTAGGATTAATTTTACCCTTATTGTTTTTAATATACTTCCCAAGCGTATTATTGGTTTTAAAAGCTACGTTAATATTTTGGTTTTTTAAATATGATGATACCTTTTCACTAGGAGCTCCTATATATGTAAGACTCTTATATCTGCAATTTGGATCTTTAATTATGGGATAAACTTGTTGAATAGCCTGTTTAAAAAGTTTTTTCTCTAAAATGTTGTCTACTAACTTTGAATTAAAATTATTATTTACTGCGATTTGTTTAATGATATTTAATTCTTTTGTGAAGTTCTCTTTGGTAAGGGGAATATTAACTAATCTATGGATCATACTGTTGTATGCTGCCAGCTTTTGTTTGTATGGATGAGATGAACTATTATTTATTGTAATATCCGTATGTGATGGCTTATGAAATATCCCAAAACTATGGCCTTTATTATTTTTAATATGGGATATTTCATAAGCCATCACATACGGATATTACAATAAATAATAGTTCATCTCATCCATACAAACAAAAGCTGGCAGCATACAACAGTATGATCCATAGATTAGTTAATATTCCCCTTACCAAAGAGAACTTCACAAAAGAATTAAATATCATTAAACAAATCGCATTAAATAATAATTTTAATTCAAAGTTAGTAGACAACATTTTAGAGAAAAAACTTTTTAAACAGGCTATTCAACAAGTTTATCCCATAATTAAAGATCCAAATTGCAGATATAAGAGTCTTACATAAATAGGAGCTCCTAGTGAAAAGGTATCATCATATTTAAAAAACCAAAATATTAACGTAGCTTTTAAAACCAATAATACGCTTGGGAAGTATATTAAAAACAATAAGGGTAAAATTAATCCTAATAATAAATCGGGGGTATATAAATTAAATTGTGGTAGTTGTCCAAAATTGTATATTGGTCAAACAGGCCGTACTTTCAAAAAACGCTATTCCGAACATTATAATAGCTATACAAAAAACAAAAATAATTCTACTTACTCAAATCATATTTTAGCTGAAAATCATTCTTTTACAGACAACTTTGAAATTTTACATGTAGAAAATAAGAGCCTTAAATTAAACCATTTAGAAACATTTGAAATAAATAGATTTAAAAATTCAGATAACTTACTAAATGATCAATTAGATATTAATAATTCACCCTTATTAAATCTCTTTCCCAGTTTTCTGTGAGATAATCCCGGTAATGGGCTATCTTATTGTTATCTGATGGATATTATAATTACCTAAGTACCCTTATTTACTTTAAATATTTAGTTTATTTTGTAATGTTATTGATGTTTTCTTAAGTACTTTGTTTTGTTAAATTATTTCGTATATATATTGGATACCGAATTGTAAATAGTCACATTTGAAAAAGAAGTTGTACTTCGAAACATATGTCATGTTAGTGTTTTTTTAAAAATTTCTATTTTTAAAATAAAAGTGTGAAAATCTACCAAATTTGGTTTTACTCTTTCAAAATTAAATGGATTTTCATCAAGTAAAGGCCGAAACAATAAACAACATTATTTAATAACTAAACAACAATTTTTTAAGACTTTCTTACAATCACAATAAAAAGGGATTAAGTAGGTTATAGTTACTACATTCAATTATTTTGATTTATTTGTTGTAAACATTTTAATATATTTTATAAAAAAATAAATTAGTTTGGCACATTGTAAGCAGCTTTTTACAATCGTTATTTATGACTTTATGACTCATAAAAACTTTTCACAGAATTTTGTTTAATTAGTAATAAATAAAATTTATTTCCCGTTTATAATTATTTGTTAAACTAGTTATTTAACATTATTGTTATACTGTTATAAAAACCAATATATTAAATGTACTTGACAAACATTTTTGTTTTCAAAAATAGTCATCAAGTATGTAATTTTGTGCACGTCACTGGATCATCTTGAGGTCTAGGCGTAATCATTCAGCTGTTCAGAATTCACCCAGAACTGTGACATAAATGTACCTTTCTCTAACTTCGTTCACTTTACTTAAGCTGATTATCCCAAAATGAGAAAAAATTTGAAAAACAAGGGACATCATAAGACAATCCGGGATCAGATAACCAGGGCAAAACAAATAATAATTTGCCAAGGTGACGATGTTCCATTTTTATACATTTTTTCTAATAATACAAGTTTTTTTATATACAGTGTCATCGTTTAAGTCCGAACAGTTGAACGTTGACGATTTTTTCTGAAGATTGGCTGACTGTCAGATTTGTAATATTTTTAAAAAATTTCAATAAATTATTTCTCAAAATTTCGATTGGTCTATTGATTGGCAGACAGATCAGACAATTCTGAGTTATGGCACTTCACTTCTTAACTGGAATGCCATTTTGTACTGTGATAAAAAAATTAAAGCATAAACCATTTTGCATTAAGTATGACATCATTTTTTCAGCAAGTTTGTATTTTTATTTTTAAATATCCAATTACAAACATTTTACACAAAAAAAAACAAACTTCAGCAAATGAGTGTATTACATCTTAACTGGTTTTTTCGAATTTTAGAAATTGGAAGCAGCCAAAAAAATTATGAGGTGAAAAAAACACAAAGAGAATTGTACAAATTTGTTCAAATTTGGTAGGAGGATAGAAAACCGAAAAAGAACCAGAAAAAAACCGTCAACGTCAATTTGTAATATTTTCTAAGAAAAATACACTGCATACAGAAGCTATAATGGCTGTAACAGGGACAAAATGGAGCAAATAAGCAATTATGCCAAGATAGGCTAAATTTCTCAGATCTGATGATTAATTTAGGGATAAAACCTTAAGAATTTAGGACCCTGCTCCATTTAGTTTTAGTTAATCACCTGTTAAATGTACATATAATTATTATCCATGACATCCCGTATATCTTGGTTTTAAAGAAGGAATAACAAATAATCTTGCTGTTAAACTTCAAAAATATCATTTATAAAATTAATAATTTTGATACCTAAATGTTTAAAATGGTAATAAGGGAAATTTTAAAGACTTTTATTACTTATATTAAATTTTAAAAAACAAATTGCCTGATAATAGACATACTGGTGTATGGCCAATTTTGTGAAAAGTAATGAAAGTGCATTTTCTGGCATGTGGCTAAATTAACTCTTTAAAAATAAATAAGCACTTTATATAATTTACACCTGCCATTATTTATCTCTATATAGAACAGCAATAGCTATTGTAAAAGTTAATAGAGATAAAATACAATTAGTACAAATATTTAATAGTGTCAACACTATTATTCATTTGCAAGGAATGTCAAGATTAAGAATAATTTAAAATAAGATTACCACTAACTCTGTTGAAATAAAAATGGATGGCCAAAATTGATTTATAATAATAAAATTAATTTTTAAGTAATTTATTTCTGTTATCAATATGTAGGACTAATTTCATGTACTATCAACAAAATACTTACTCATCTTTAATTTCTCCATTATTTACAGCAATTGTGTTGTTTGATTTAATCAAAGTTACAGCTGTTCCTATACCTCTAGCCACTATTCCAGATTCCCCTTCCAAGTCATAGCTTTGCTTGTAACCAATAACAGCATTTCCTCCTAAATTTAAAGTTTTCACTCCAATTTTTCGTTGTAGTTCACCAGAAAGCTTGAAAAACAAAGTCTGTCGAGCTTCATTTGAAGCCCTTGGTGTACGAATCTTATCAATCCACTGGTATTCAGGATCATCATATACTACAAGCTCTTCTACAAAGCCATGGATTAATTTTGCTTGGTAGCCTTGAGGTACAGTAGGAGCTACAAAAGAGATTCCAAATTTGATCTATTGAAAATGTCAACAATAGTATCAATTCTAAAAATTAACAACTTTAAGAAAACTTTTAAACTTATCTTCAATAAAATTGAGAAAGTAGTGTATAGTCAACTAATTTATTTTATAGAAATATAGGAAGATGCAATTTAATTAACAGTGTTCAATCAGGTTTTAGGGCTGTGTGTCATCAATGATTGGAAAAACAATAAAGATAAAAAACTTGTTACTGCAGCAGTTTTCTTAGACCTACAGACAGCCTTTGCAACAGTTAATAGAGATTTACTAATTAAGAAAATAGAAAGTTTTGGAATTGTAGATGCATTGCAATGGCTGTACAGTTACCTAGATTACAGTAAACAAAATCTGAATAACACGATCATAAATGAAATCAAAAATTTTGGTGTATATACTTTACTCTTTTTACTTCATATTGATAAAATAGGGCAAATGGTTAAGGACTGCTCAATTCATTTATTTACAAATGATCCACTAATTTATCCTTCCAATGACCAAATTGTTACAATTTTATATAAAACATTGATACTTCCACATTTAACTTATTGCTTGTTAGTATTATTCTTATTAAATCAAAATAAATTAAGTAGAATCCAAAAATTACAAAATATTGCTATGCCAATCATTTTATCTTGCAGTAGGTACACTCCCATTCAGGAAATGCTCAAGTCATTGAGATGGCTTTCAGTCAAAGATTAACTTTTGTTACAAATGTTCATTTTATTTTTTTAAATAAAAAAAGGATAGCCCCTACATATTTGCTAAATAAAACCAAATGCTATTTTCAAATCCACACAAGACACCATAATGACTTTTATTAGAGTGACCATACATACATTTCACTATAGGTATTGTACAATATTTTCAAAGTCTGACTAGTACTGGATCTTGTACAGCAAAACGCCGTATTTGTCCAGCAAAACGCTATATTTTATTGTCTAGCATCCAGCAATGTAATACATAATATATTGAAATGAAACAAATAAGACAAAAACATAATGCAAACCTAAAAAAGGGTCCCTCCGGTTCTCTACATGGTATAATGTTCTATCTTTATCTTTGGAAAAAAAGGTCATCTCCTCTCATGTTAGAGTACAGCACTAGGTTAAAAAAAATATGGTTATCCTAACTTTTGTATTCTATAAATTTCAGTAACAGTGGAAAAAACTAAGCATGAACTAAAGCACCACTTATTGACATATTTTATAATACAATATTTGTACCTTCCCTCACAATCTTTTAATTTAGATATTACCAGATATTTTATTTATCTTATTTTTTTATGCATTGCTAAATGAAGGACATAATTATATATATTTTCTAAAATTTTAAATAGCACTTACAATAAAAAAATTGTATTCCACAGGAAGACTGCCTAAATCGATTAAAATCTGAGAATAACTCCACCTTAACAGTGATATTAACTTCACCCCTAATACCATGCATGGTATCATATACTGGCAACCAGCCAGATATCTCATGGTGTATTGAATTGTCACCATTGAACCCATATTTCATTATTTGTCCATCTACAGGTAGTAACAGAGGATTTAAATTTAAATAAACTTTTCCTATTGCATCATTCGCTGAATAGGTATCATGATCCATTAGACGAATTTGTAGCGGTTCATCTTGTAGTTCTGAATCTTCCACCTAAAAAATCCACTGTAGAATACATTGACTCAAATAAGCTATTCACTATTGACCTCAAAACGATACCAATCTGTGTTCCATTGGGGATGAAGAGATTTACGGCATACATCAGTCTTAAAAGTTGTTCCTCCAAGTTTGATTTCCACATAAGCATCTGTAGTGTCACTAGACCTGTCCATTACAGGTAAATTTTTACCAGAGGAAATTTTTACTTTTACTTTTCCAGGCATTGCAATGTTTATCAACAAAAAGTGAGGTTATAGCAGGAAATCGAATAATTTGTTTATTGAATTATTTGTCGACATTGAGGTGACACACCTGAAAATTATTATTATTATTTTTGTTAAGAATATTTTATACGACTTAACAACTAACTACACATCTATTTTTAGCCAGGTATTACATATTTTTCTGGGCCAAAATATGTATAACTGACATCACATACTCACACTTCACACCACAGACAGGGTTGCCAGGTCAAAAAAAAATTATTCATGAGAAAATGCAACAAAAATCATTAGATTTTCAGTAAAAATCATGAGAGGCCTAATTTTATCGGGAATTAAAAAAAATGCGCCTATATTATTAATATGCATTTTTATTGAACAAAAAAAAATCACTTTTCTCTTGAAAATAAAACACAAAACAAAATTTTATAGAATAAAATAAACAAAGCTTGAAAACATAAAACAAATTGGTAGGTACCTACTCCTAGGTAACTAAGGGTCGATCATAGATTGGGTCGATTCCACCGTTTTGTTAAACGGAGATTAAAATGACATTGTTAATGTAAAAATGTCATTTTAAACTTCGTTTAACACAACGGTGAAATCAGTCCTAATAACGATAAGGTAGGAACATTGTTTTCAGTGTTCTCTGGTAGGAACTACCCTCTGAGGGAACTACTAATACTATATTATTCGGAGTCAGACTCATAAATTTTTTGTTTCATTTTTTTTAACATTTCTTTTTTATTTCAAAATTAACACATATTGCACCATCTTTAATTACTAAATCTTTGGTATGCAAAAGTCCAAATAAAGCTGTTTCTCGCTTTTGATTTATTTATATTAATTATAGAAAATATTCTTTCTACGCACGCGCTTGAATGTAGCAAGGTTAAAATATCAAACACAAAGTTAGATAACTTTTTAAACTTAAGCTCTTTGCCGGGAGATTCAATTTTTGATCTTTTTTTTTCCAAAATTCACAGGGGTCTTGGGAATCAAAATTAATTTCAAAATTTCTTAATTCTATAACCACTGCTCGTTATCAATATCTTGTATGTCTTACGGGTTACATGATTTTGGAAATTTATTGAAAACTGGGGCAATTCTAATTTTTCTAGATTTGACAATTTGAGGATCTATAAAATCAAGTTTCTCAAAAATAGAATTTTTCAAGGGAAATCTACATAAAAGCTGGGATACGCTCTCAATGTAAAAATTCAGACATTTTAATTTAACAGTCTGAAGTCGTTTTTTCTAAATTACTGGCATTAATGGCAGCTGAAAAATACATTTCATTTTTATCTAAACAATCATGAGATTTTTGTTGAAAATCATGGAATCATGAAAAATGTATCCAAATCATGAGATCTCATGAAAAATCATGAGATCTGGCAAACCTGACCGCAGATCAATTTGCCTCACACAGAACACTACAGATTACAGAATGCAGAACACACATAACTTACCCTCACTTGCAATCGGAATCGGAATAGTGGAACACGAAAAGTCAAATTCAGCCGCACAAAACACGCTGTAACAGAAACATACTTGAAACCTGGCAGAGAATAGGAACGCACTTGATGTTTCATGTCTTTTTCATTTGTTTTGTGATTACTCTATCTTTCTTTCCGGTTGCCGGTTTTTTCGAGGTTTTTTCAAGATTCAAGTTTTTATCATTTAACTTTTTTAATGTAATTTAAAAAATAGACATCGTGTATCTGTACTTCGTCGTTCTTCCAAGAAGCAACAGGTAAGTTTATTATTCCTGTAATACGTTTTAGAGTCAGAATTATATTTTCTAAAAATTCTTGTTAGTTCATCTAGAAGGGAGGCTTCAGGTGCCTACTTTGATTTTCTGTTTAAAACATATTTTTCCACTCACAGCCACCATTTTATAACTTGCTCACATTTTAGTAGAAATAATATTTAAATAAAACGTAATTCGGTATGGTTGTGTATTAAAATAACTTTAATAAGTAAGTAAGTAATAGGTAAGTAAGTATATAATACTTATGTCGAATCTGCATGAAATTTTGAATAGTAGAGGTATTGGTACTGATGCCATTAAATCTGATCTTGCATCAAAATTTTACCAACAATATATTTTGGCTTCAAACATTTAGGTACATATCTGTTTAGTAAAATAAAATTTAGGGACTAGGTGCTATAATTTAAACCTTTTTGCGATTTCCAGCATAGTGATATAAAAAAAGCAAAATGGCTAAGTATACGTTTGCGGGTTTATAAATTTTAAGTACACCTATTATACGCTTACAACAGCTAGGTAGTTGAAATCGATAAATAATGGCATTTTATAACTGTTCTTTCGGTATTTTTAAATATACTTTTATGGCGTAATCATAGCTTTAATTAGTAAACTCCCCTGCTGTGTCAAGTTTTCTTTCTTTTTGGGTAGATGAGGGCTCTGTCTTTGTCGAGAATAAGAATGGTGGTATAGGAATTACTATTATACTACTGCTATTTATATTTTTCTATATAGATACTATCCAAGGAATAAAGTTATCAGATAAGCCTTGGTGGGATAAAAAGTGATAAAACGGGATGGTCCAGTTTATCAAAAAATAATTATACTGCCTACTTTATACAATAAAATATGATCCATTTTTCCTTTCTTTTTGATATACAGGGTTCAAGTATAATAAGAGACGTGCAAAAAATTGTTAGATTATTTTTTTTTTCTCGAAAACAAAGTAAGATGAAAAATGTAAGAGACAACAGTTGTATTTTTAATTGGTTTGATTACGAAAAATTCAAAACATCTACTGGGTGATATTTTTTGAGCCGAAAACTAATAGAAATGCCTCGTGAGCATGCCTTTGGATGAATTACTGGATAAACTGTAACATGTCCAAATAAGCCACAAGCTGTCAACAAGCTAAAAATTTCATCAAAATCAGCCAAAGCCTTTTTTAAATAATAACAAAAAACTATTAAAAAAAAACTTTAGCACTTTTTGTACATCAAAAAAGGAAATTTAACCATGTTCTATCGGACAAACTACCTTTATATTTCAATAAACTATTGGCTGGTAAAATTGACAATTTAACTGGACTACCCTGCAGATGATTGTAAATTTGTAGGAAGAAACAGTAAATAAGGCAATATTCATATACAGAATAAAGTACCGTAAACGCAGGGGAAATTGTAAAAAAGCTAAATATAATTTTCCTGTAAACGTCCCAGTTTTCATTATACAGGGTGATAAAGTTAATTTCATAAATACATAATTTTTAAAAATCTTCCCTTACGTTAAAGAGTTTAAAATATGTACATGTTGGTTAATCGCCATTATTACTTAACATGCTTTATTTCGATAAATTACGATAACCCATTGGCGTAGAATCAAAAGGCTAAGAAAATAATTTTAATCCAAACTTTTTGAACACACTATGTTTTATAAAAGTTAAGATTAATAATTATTATGCGTTACGCAATTTTTCATAAAAAAAGGGACTCTTGGTTGATCTCTAACACATATCCGAGAATTTTCAGTTTTAGTCCTACTCAAACATGAATATTAAAAGGTCCATTAACTAATGAGTCCATGATATTATGTACTTAATGGCTCCATTAGTTAATGGACCTTTTAATATTGATTATAAAATCGGCCCTTAATAAAAATTTGCATTTTTGGAATTTCATAATGTACAAAGCTTTCATGTGTGAGTAGGGCTAATATTGAAAATCTCGGAAAAGGACAAATTGCGAAAGGAATAATTATTAATTTTAACTTTTATTAAATATAGGGTGTTCAAAAAAAATGGATCAAAATTGCTTTATTACCTACCCCTTGATTTTACACACGCCAATGGCTTATCGTAATTTATCAAAATAAAGTTTAGTCATAATTAATAATGGTGATTAATTAACAAGTACATGTTTTTAACATGTATAACAAAGTTCAAAACACTCCCATACTTAGCCTTTAATCTTACTCGTTTCTGAGATATAGGGTGTTTTATGATTTTTTGCCAAAAATAAAGTCGGCCATTGTGTCTGAACGGCTAGAGATATTTTGATAAAATTTTGTACAACGAAGAAAAACGTTCGCAGAGGTGTATTGACGTTCACGGTGTTCATTTTAAAAATCTACTTTAGTTTTAATTAATTGTTTGTTAGTTTGTTCTATTACTTTATTAAATAAAGTGAGCCCGGTCCTGTGTAGATGTTCAATTTCCCAATGGAAAATGCTGTAGCTAAAAAAAAAATGAAGATAGTACCTAATTTGTGTAGAGTTTTAAAAGTACAGAGTAAAATATTTGATTTTAATATTGTAAATACTGATTTATAATATTGTAGTCGCCATTATAAAAATTTACTGTAAGAAAATCAAGATGGTGCCATTAAATATTATTACATTATTTTATTTATTGATCCACGTAATATTTAAATGTGCAGTAACATTTATTAAAATCTGATATACAGGGTGATATTCTAGATAAGAAGAGCAATATAAAAAAAGAGAGTCCGGTCCTGGATTTTTTAAAATTAAATTATGTTTTTGATTAACCTAAGAGAGTGTAACTTTTGTACAAAATTTTATCAAAATATTTTTAGCCGTTCAAATAAAATAAGCGATTTTAGTTTTGGTAAAAAATCATAAAACGCCCTATGTCTCAGAAACGAGTAAGATTAAAGGCTAAGTATGGGGGTACTCTACCTCCCATTAAGATATGTCCGTTTAAATCTGAAACATCCTGTAGAACGTATCTATCAAATAAAAATTTAACCGTAAGGGAAGATATTTAGAAAATTATGTATTTATGAAATTCATTTTAACATCCTGTAGAATGAAAATTAGGACGTTTACAGGAAAATTATATTTAGTTTTTCTAAATAATTATTTAAGATCTACATCTATCTCAGTTGACGGTACTTTATTCTGAAACACTCTGTATATAGCTATTAAATAATATATAATAGAGCGAATATAATGCCATATTTCCTTTGTTAGGGAAAACAATTAAGTATTCTCAGAATTGTTTATTAAAGATGTTTAAAAATCATACTACACATGCATAACTGAGTGATCCACACAAAACGTTTTTATAGTAAGACTTCACGTATGTCAGAGCATATAATTATTTTTTTAAAGGGTCAGTTTGAATTTAATTTAGAGCTGTGCGTAGCTATCACGGACATGACTTGTATCTCTATCTTTGTCGGTCATTGCCTATTTTAGAAACATTTTTTGTGTATCACTTTTTATATTCCTGTAATTGTAGTGTACTCTGAGTTGGAAATTATTGACATACCTATTATAGGTGTTTTGAAATTATATGCAAAATGTTTTATACAAATAGGGAAAAATGTTAATATTACATTTCACAAAAAAATCAAGCATGAAATTTGTAAATTTAAAAAAAATCTAGTACACTTAGCACTGGTAAATCGAAATCACTTAGAAATAAGTACAATGATTAAAACTTAAGCATTTTTTAAAAAATTTAATTAACATTTTGTTCTCTATTGAAATTTAGAAGTATTTTTTCCTTCATTATAAATAATTATTTTTGTTGTTCCTGTATATCTCCTATATTTTATAAAATTTAATGTTGCAGAATGATTTTTTTGCGAAATATAAAATAAAACTTTTCCATTTGGGACATCCTGTATATATGTAGGTACTTATCTTTTAATACTTTTTTAGATAAAAAAAAATCAAAATGCCAGTTCATTCTTCAGCTAGTAATTCGCGCGGACGTAGCAGAACATCCCTTAACGTCTGCTGTGGGCCGTCTTGTGGCCAAGAACAATCTAAAAGTAAAGGAAAACTTAGTCCTAGTCCTAAACCAGTAAAGAAGAAGACCGCGATTAAGAAATCTCCAAATAGTGCAAAAAAAGCAGTTAAACCAAAGCCTAAACCTGCAACAAAAACGGTACGTGATTATTATTCAGTATTTACTTACGTAAATCTATATGACAATATATTTTTAACTTAAACTGAAAATAATAGGTATTGTTACGAAAGTCTAATTTATTTTTAGTTTATTTATTTAAAAACACTATTTACAATTTATTTCAGACGTACTATTTAATTTATATAATACTAACTAACAATTCTAATTTATTTCTTACACTTTAACTTTCCAATACAATGTTCTATATTAAAACTAAACTCGGTGCTGATACGTCGGCTATTTATATTAGTCCAACTCCGCTATTGGAAAATGCTAGAGGCTCTCGAAGATTCCACTTCTATGACTAAACGGCACTCCGGGCCGTTCCAGCTGTTTCTGGTACATCAGCGGCAGGCATTCTGTCGTATTCTTGTATATTCGAGACGCGGGCCGGCTGTTTCCACACGTCAGCGTTGCTTCGATCACGAGTCGGTTGCCATGTGAAGGTTGCGTGCGTACACAGGGTCGGATTAGGAATTTCATGACAGTATTCGCTCCGTGCGTGACAGCAGAGCCAATTCATTTAGATACTAATGGACTATTTCTGCGTATACTAACAATTTTTAATAGAATTGGTAATTAAAAAAGTATATATGTTAGTTTTAATAAAAGTATATGGATTTGTAAAACAAGTAAAACATTTATTATTATTACATATTTTTATCGCTTAAATTAAAAAAAAATAAGTATAATCAATAAAAATCAATAATAAAATATAGACAGGCAGCAGTATTTACGGGAAAATGTATAAGAAGTTGCGTAAGTCTAAAGGGATGCTGAATGACATCGTAAAATGATAATTTATTGTTTATTTAAAACCTTTCAAGTTTGAAATGTCTTATTATTTTGAGTATTACTGTTATTATTACAAAAATATAGGTAATTTTTCTTCTTATTGTACACCTATCCATTCATTTCTTTGATTTAATTTCCACTTTGCTACTGAAAATTTTTATAATTTTCACTGTTTTTTTTTTTGCTAGTATTTTTACAATTTTCAACACAGCAACTATTTTTACCTACTTTCTTGAAAAAAAAAGTAAAATGTAAACGTGTATTTGATATGTCAAAATTACAAAATATCGCCTTAAATAGCGGAAACTTAATTGCTCAAAATAGAAACATGAATGTTATAAAGTTTTTTCTTTTAGGCTGCAGATAAGAAAAACTCATCGTGCAGCAAATGCTACTCGTCAGAATCAAGTGAGAGTTCTTCTGAAGAAGGCTGCGACTGCTGCTGCTGCTGCGGTTGCAGATGATAAATAACTGATGATTATACAAGGTAATTTAAATAGTTCTGCTGAAGGCTATGATTGCTACTGAAAAATTATTTAGCTCAGTTTATTTTTTGCTTTTACATGCTTAATTTTCTATTTTAAATTTTCGTGTAAATATTAGCTTAAAACGGTATATACATGTGTCTACTATTAAGTTGGTACTATATGGAAAACTTTAATTATTATAGTAATCTTTGCATAATCTATAAAAAAAATCATCATCAGTTATAGATTGTTACAAAATATGTAATACCAAGAATTTTTTAATAGAGCCAATTATTTTTCGTAAAACTAATAATAAAATAGTTTTCCATATGATTCCAACAACTCAATTACCTACACATATCACTCTTTATACATTATATCCTGATGTTCAAACTTATGGAACCGTTTATCATACATATCTGAGATTTGGACTTGTTTTTACCTAAAGTGATCCTTAGATATGCACAAGAAATTATTTTTAATTGGCTAAGTTCATCACTAGAGGGCATAATGCTCATGGCCAATTATAAAAGCTGAAAATTAAGTTATGCCTAAAATACGAATATCATAATAAATATATGCAAAATTTAATTTTGATTACCCTCTCATTTATCTGTTTATCATTGGTCATAAGTAAGGTGAGGCAAATATGATCATATATATGAAAGGAATTTAGTTGAAATATGCAAAAAAAATGAAATATGAAATTATTTAAAAATTAATGTTTTAATTTTCACGATCAATTGCTTTAATGGGGGTAGTTTCAAATAAAACAAAACATTTTTTAAATGATTAATTTAATTATTAAAACAATAAACAATTAAGTATTTTTCTAAATTCTCTAACAAAAAGTTTCGCCTCCTATCAGTATACATATATTTAAATGCAGAAAAGCTTCTTTCTACGTCAACAGATGTAATAGGGGCATTTTTTAAATGTGACAAAATTTCTGGCTCCAGTGTAAATGTTTCATCGAAATCTCCAATTGAAGCTTTGGTTGCTTGTAAAAGGAATTTGTAGCCATGGTTCTTATCAATTACTGCTTTGAATTTTTTATATATTTCATTTCAAATATGTCCCTGAACATTTTTGCAAGCTAACTCAAATTCTTTTAATAAATTTACCGCCTCTATCAAAGATAATTTGGATGACTCTAATTGGGTAATAGTGTTTGAAATAAAATAATAATTGGTTTTTATAAATGAAACTTGTTGACATATAATGTTGATTGGTCAGCAATTTTTTGGCTTGTAAGAGAACCTGAGAAGAATTATCTTCCAATTCTTGTATAACAGTTTTTATTTGCGTAAAGTTCTCGCCATAAAATAGAGCAGCATCTAACCACGTTTCCCAACGTGTTAAAACGGGTAGAGGTGGAAGAGAAAGATTAGGTAAATGCTCTCTGTAAAATTGAATCCTAAGTGGAGCTTTTAAAAATATTTTTTTAAAGATATTAAATCATTTATAAGAGGAAAGTTTTTTCTAACTTCTTCTGCCACTCTATTTAATGCATGGGCCAAACAAGTAGTATGAATTAATTTTGGATAAAAGTTTTAGCCTGCTTTAACCCTATAAGGTGCTGCATCTGATAGGAGAAGTATAAACTTTTCGTTAGGAATAGCCTCGGGAAGAAAAAGTTTGTTAAACTGTCTTGTATAAATCTAGTAACACTTAAGGCATTTGTTTAAGGAAGTTCTTTGCAAGCAATTAAGTATGATTTTGTAAAATTTTGATTCTTAAGAGCCCCAATCATTAAATGGAAAATTTAACGTCCTGAGGCATCTGTCGTTTCATCTACATTTATAAAAAATGATTATTCACTATCTCTAATATTATGCTATTCAGTACAGAGGAATATACATAATCAATTTCTGTTCTTCTTAGAGTTCTTTCGATGGGTATATTAAATTTACAATACTTTTGAAGAAAAAATTGAAAATTATCATTTGACAGTTTTGATAAGGGTATATTTGACGTCACCAATGCTCGACATAAATCTTGCCTGAAGTCAAGCGCACTTGAACTTTTGGCAACATTAGATTGAAAGCACTTTGATATTGACGGTTGCTTTTTTCCTTCAGATGTCACTTTGCCTTGTTTAGCCACATGTGATGCAGTTTTAACATGCTGTAATATTAGAAACCTTTTCTCAGATATAATCTACAAAGTCGAAATAACATATTATGTAGAGCAAATTTTTCAAAACTTTTTAATAAAATCGGTCAATGGTGTAAGAAAAGATGTATTTTATATTAATTATTTTCATGTATACAGGATAGTTACCGCTACATACCCCTAACATACGTTTTTAATTATCTAGCCCAATTCTAAGAAAAATAAATTAAAAAAACATTTAAGGGGCATGTAGCAGTAACTATAACGGTTCCAAAAAAATTAAAAAGTAGATCATTTAGTTTAAGAAAAATTAGATGATTTGCATAATTTACTATTGGATAACCCTGTATACAATATTGTGTAGTTTTGTATGAAAGGAGTTATGGAACTACGATCAAAGTGTGCCCCACCCTGTATGCCAGAGGCAAGGGACACTATACCGAAAAATCCTAATAGTTGAAATCTAAAAAGTTACGTAAAATACACCTTGTGCATATTTAATAAACCCTTTTCATGACACACCTTGCATAGCTTGTTTTTTAAAAACAGTTTTTATTAAATTGAAAAGTCTGTATAGTTTTGAAAATAATAAATTTGTACTTACAATTTTGCTGCAGACTGAGCAGAATACTTTTCCCATGTCCATAGAGAACTCTGGAAATGGTTTAATGCACATCGACACTTTGATATCATTTGACATTTTAAATACACACTCGCACACTTCAAAATCTAACTTTAAATTAACTTTAAAATTGTCGACATAACTTTAAAGAAAACTTTTAATAATTATTCCTCGTGCCTTTCGGTTTGGGAACAAATAAAACGACCCCAATGGTGTTAATTCTTATTAGTACTTAGGGATTAAGTAAATATTTTATTATTGGGATTAACCATCATTTACTTTTGTCCTATTTTCTTAGAATTATACTTGTTACATGCAAACCAACAAAAATTAAGATCTTTTAAATTTACTTTACTGGCAAGACTAAATATTAAAATATTTTGGTTAAATTGTGTAGGAATTATTTGTAAAATTCTTACAGATATGCTAAAAATTCAAAAATAGTTAAAAATATGAAAAATTCGGAAAAATTTCATATAATATGAAAAATATGCCAAATATGAAAATTTCATAAATGCCTACTCTAGTCATAAGCATTGCGCTATCTATAGTGACGAATTTCCACCGAGTTCTCTTCGCCACTGTTATCATGAAATTTTCACCGAGAATGTTTTAATTTGTAATATTTATGTTTATAAAAAGATATCTTTCTGAAATTTGAGTCGGTTCCTTTTTTATGAAATGAAATGAAATATATGTGTTGTACATACAGGCGTTTAAAAATTGTCTAACAGTATTCATGTTTCTACATCCAATTAAAGACTACAAAAACCAATTTTCCCTAATAACCTCTAAAGAGGTTGACGAAATACAAACATCATTAAAGGATATTAAAACACATTTTTAAAGAAGTAGGTAATTAGAGGTTCGTCATTTTTGTTCTTGTATAAGTTTGTGCAAAACTGAATCAATTATTTATTACCTATACCCATTGGTGCGTAATTGTTTAATATTTCAATTTGTGTTTTAGACACGCCAACAGGTTTTTGGATATACAGGGTGTTTCGTTTTTGCCTGACAAATAAGAATGTATATTTTTTAAATAGAACACCCTGTATTTTGTTTCATTTTTAGAATGGTTTAGTAATAGTGTATTCAACCCAAGAATTTTTTTTAAAAACATTACAGGGTTGCCAAGCAATTAATTTTTTTATGAAATTAGTGAATAATAATGTAGACCCATAATTAAATTATCATGATTTAGATAGGTTTACATTGATTTTAAAATTGTTTATTATATAGACATAAGATACTAAGCTAACGAGTAGTGATAGAACAGGTTTATTTTATACAGAGTGTTTTGAAACATGTCTTAAATATGGCTAATTTTAAGTTTAATTTATTCAATTTTTTCAAATACGACAACCTGTATATTATTTTAGCACACAATTCCTTATAAATTTGCCTATCCAACACGATACCAACATGTTAGCCAATCACACATATATAGGGTGCCCCATCATTTCATAATTGATCGATGGCTGTTTTATTGTTGGAAATACGAATAAATTTTTAATATAAAAGTTGTAGGATCATATTTAACAATTATTGTTAAATATACAGGGTGATCTATAAACGAGGGGCTGAACAAAACTCATACATTTTTAAAGCAAAACACCCTGCAGATAATTATACATATTTGGTTGTTTTCACATCGTCAAACAATTTTGAAAGGCTTCATTCATTTACTATGTTGTATGTAGGGTGTGTCAACATGCGAGGTTAGGATTTCTTAAATTTTTTAAATGTAATACTTTGTATGTTATACCACCAATTAATTAATACAAGGTATTCCATTTAAAAAACTGAGAAAATCGCAACCTTGCGTTTTGACACACCCTACCCAGACAGCACATCAAATCCTTTGGATATCTACTGAACATCCCAATATCCACTGAATGTCCAGTCCATGGTGGATATGTATTTTATATCCATGAGCTGTAATTTATAGACATGCAAATGTCCATAAATAATAGTAATTATATAGCAAATTATTCAAAAATTACGCCATTGTGGCTAATAGTACCGTTCAGATATTTAAAATTAATATTTTTAAGGTATATTTAATATCCCATGGACATCCACTAAATATATCAAAGTCTAGGCGCGAACGCAAACCAGACTAGATGTAATTTTTGATTTTGCTTACTAAGTCTAGATGGTGATACTACTTTCGCATCTACTCATGCTCAACCCGCCGTAATTGAGTTCGATCGAAATTTGTTTCACAATCAAACTCCATTAGAGACTGGAGTCAAGAATTTCCATTTATTGCTGAATAGTCCTAATAAGGATAACTTTCTCCTTAGTTGGGCAAAATAAGTGTTGAAAATATTTTGAGTGTTGAAATAGTATATTACATTACGAGTGTGGAAAGTGACATTTTTCACACGAGTGGGAAATATTGTCGCACGAGGCGCAAGCCGAGTGCGACTATCACACGAGTGTGGAAAATCACTTTTCACACAAGTGATGTACAATATTTTTCCTACGACCACAAAATAATATCATCAAAAAAATGTAAAACCAAGGTTATTATTACTATAATAATTAAAATGTATTTAAAAAAATAATCAACAATAATAATCGTATTTATTCAATTTTTATATTTTTTAAACAAAAAAAAAAACTAGAAAAAAAAACAAAAAAAAAACAAAAAAAATTTCTGCCACGCCAGGATTTGAACCATCGATTGAACGCGGTCGAAAAATGGCAAAGTTGATAAGTTCGACGTCCTAACCACCTGAGCTAATAGCCCTTGTGTCAATTGAATGATCTAATCGATTATGTATTCAACCAGAATAAAGAGCAAACATTATTTTAAAATTATTTTAATAATAATTGTTAAAGATAAATATCTAGGATCTAATTTACAACAATTTCAATAATTTAACAATCATATCGATTTTAGTATTAATATGGATATTACATAGATCAAAATGGAAATTAGCTGTTTGACATTTTGTTACAACTACTGCGGAAAGTAACATATTCTCACTCGGGTGGAAAGTAAATTCTTATTCATACGCGTGTGATATAGGGCACTTTCCATAGGACTATATAGTGTGATATGTGTCACTTTCCTAAGTGGTCGTAGGAAAATATTTTTTATCTCTGCTATTTTCTTTCGAATCATTGGTTACTTATGAACCTCTACTAAAGATACTTATAAAATATTTTGCTGAATATCCGAATTCTTCTATATCCTGGGATATAGACGGACATTTGGTTGGATATCCATATTGGATATAATGGATATCCACAGAATATATTCTGTGGATATCTCTGGGATTTCTTGTATTGTCTGGAAGATACTCATTACATATTTTGCTGGATATCCATATGATATCTTCTATATTCTGGATATAGACGGACATTTGGATATCCATATTAGATCCACGGAATATTTCTAATATCCTGTGGATATATTGGATATCCAGAAAAGATATTCTGTGGATATCTCTGGGATATGGTGTATTGTCTGGGTATATACAACATAGCAAATGAATGAAATCAATTAAAATTGTTTGACGATGTGAATACAATCAATATGTAAACTTACCTGCAGAGTGTTTTGCTTTAAAAAAGTATAGGTTTGGTCAGCACCTCGTTTATGGACCACCTTGATATATTTCAGAATAATTGTTAAATATGGTCCTACAACTTCTATATTAAAAATTTCTTCCTATTTCCAATAATAAAACAGACATCGATCAATTACACATTGATGGGACACCCTGTATATGTGTTATTGGCTGACATGTTGGTAAATATCGTTGCAAATTTATAAGGAATTGTATGCTAAAATAATATACAGAGTGTTGCATTTGAAAAAATTGAGTAAATTGAACTTAAAATTAGCCATATTTAAGACATGTTTCAAAACACTCTGTATAAAATAAACCAGTTCTATCACCACTATTCGTTAGATTAGTGTCTTATGAGTCTGTATATTAAATTATGATAATTTAATTTTGAGTCTGCATTATTCTCCAATTTCATAAAAAAATTAATAGCTTGGCAACCCTGTATGTTTAAAAAAAATCTAAGGTTGAATACAGTCTTACCAAACCATTCTAAAAATGAAGTAAAATACAGGGTGTTCTATGTAAAATATATACATTTTTATTTGAAACGTGTTTGCGTGTCTAAAACACAAATTGAAATATTGAACAATTACTCACCAATGGGACACCTTGTATTAGCCTGCGTGTAACTTTTATGTCTGATGACAAAATGAAACCAAGATGGAAGATGATCATAATCTATTTTCATAATTTACGTTGTATTTTATTATTTTTAAATTTTGTATTCAATTAAAATAACCAATTTTATTAACTTTTAGTCTCAGTTGAGAGTCATGCAAATATTTCCAAGGTATATTAAACCTCTTTTCGACTTTTGGTTCTGATTTTACACCAGTTTCAAAAACAGAGGCCACTTTTTGCTAAATTGCAAAATCCTTTTTACACATCAACCCATTCGTAGACACAAAAAAATGACCGCAATCTAATTTTAAGATAAGAAAAACCGCGTTTAAGCTATATTCCGAATTTCGTTAACATAGTAAGTAAATATCCGATCACGTGGCCGGAATGTCTACACCGAAAGTAGCAAAACCGGATTACAGAAATTGTCTGCAAAGAGGTTTTATTGAACTCGACATCTGGAAACATATAGGTATTTTCTTTCAAACAAAAAAATTTAAAACCCATCGATGCGCAACTTTGATTTCATAAGTCACATGACCGCTGTTACTGTCGGGACATAGTACAACTCGTTCACCCCCACCTCCTCCCCTATACGCAACTCCAAATAGTGGCCAAAAAAGCGAAGTGCCGCTTTTTGCGTTTAGTTGAGGAACGATTATAAAAATACCTACTTAGTTTTTACATCCCTTGTGAAAAAAGTATCTTCTTTATCTTTTATTTATCTACTGCGTATTTTTAACCAGTGGGTTTAATCACCAACGATGTAACACAACCTTACCAGAAATTTTGCCGAACCCTCTGATGTTCCAACCAACATCTATAAGCGTGGTTTCATTCGAAAGACGACTCCAAGCTATATCTCGTATA